GAGACACGAAGCAAATAAGTCATAAGAATCTAACTCTGTCACAGTCGAGCCTCCGTAGATGAAACTGCAGGAAACTTCATATCTTTTACTTTTTTCTTTTCTTTTCGCTGATGTGCCTTTTTTTATTATATTTTCAAAAAAGATCTTATGAATGTTTGATTTCAAACCAGAGTGTGTTTGTGGAGATACTAGAATATAAAAGTGTTTTTACTCGTCCGTGTTTTTTTTTTTTTTTTGCTTTTAAAGAACTGCTTTGCCTCAGCGCTCAGTCGTGGACCGGGTCTGACGTGGATCTGAACTGACGTGTTGGTAGAAGTGAGAGTGACACTGAACGTGACGGAGGTTTTAACAATTGCGTTCGTGGTCGTTTTGAACTCTGCCGAGTCGAGGCCGCTGCCGAGCGTCGACGCGTAGCTACTAACGTCTTCGACTTCACTTGCAGTAGCGAGAGTTTCAGTGCAACAAATAACCTTGGATTTAATATTTATTTTTTTTGACCGTGTGATATTTATTGAGAAGCTAATATATCGTCACTGCTGCGCTCGGTGCTCGTCAGATTATTGGTTTGTTTGTTTCGTGAACGTTCGGCATCACAAGGTGTTTTTTTATTTATTTTGTAACGACACTGTAAATGTTCTCAAACTGTCGGAGCTTGAATTTTTATTTCGATTTTCACCACAAAGCCACAACACAGACCCACATGACTCTGTTCACGCTGCGGTTCCCCTCGTTTTTAGTTTTATGATTTATTTTCTTTATGTCACGAACACGAGATTCAAACTAAAGCTTAGCTCTGGCTAGCTTGCATTACCACTAGTAACCACAGGTTAAACAATTGCCTTATTTGTAGCGTGTCCCATTCATTTCAATTGACCAAGTGAAGCCAAAACATATTGATCGCCCCCTGGTGGCTGGCTGTCGTATCGATTATAAACTTAGTGGATGGGCCAAAGTAAAAATATTTTTTTTTTCTAAAGATGGTTTCTGTCATTTCAAGTTGTTCTCGAGTATTTTAGCTTTTTATCGTCATCCATCTTTATATACAGACACCGAGGCAGCAGCCTAGTGGCCGTCAGAGGTACTGCACCTAAACAAATATGTCCTGGTTCTTACAGTCGACAGAGTGAACAGAGTCTCAGCTTCACTGATGAATTAAATCGTTTCCGACTCAAGTTTCTTTGGAGAAATATTCACTCACTGACTCTGCAGAGTTTTGTGCCTTAACACCATCTGTGATCTGCATGTGTGTGACTGACACGTGCACTCGGCCTGGTCTGATGAGCCTGTGCACAGTTTTTACTCTGAATATTTTATACAGTAAGAGTGTGTGAGAGTGTGTTTCAGAGAGTGAATGTGTGCATGCAGAACAGTGTGTCACAGTTTGTCACAGCACGTCGAACGAGGCAACGTCAGTATTAGTTTGTGTCACTGCGTCGTGAAGAGTGAAGCTCCGACGCCACAGTTTAACTTTGTATTAGCGAGTGTTTGAACTGGTTTTAGTGTCGATGAGCTGAAACTGTGTCGATGTCACAACTCACGACTGAAGAAATGAGGAAATGTTGGAAAGAAGCTGACGTCACGTTGAGACCCTGCAGCTGTTTTACTACATTTCATCAACAGGTTTTAAATATTTTAGGAATATTTGTGTTGCGAGTTGAATAAACTGAATTTCAAACACTTGAAAACATTTTGTATGTTTATGAATATTTACTATTTCCTGCAGGAATCTTCAGATTAAATCAGAAGGGTTTATTTTATTAGTTTATAAAATGTAATTATTGTGAAAAATATGACATGTGCATCAAACAAAAGACATTTATCTGCATTTATCTATGTGCATAGAAAGTGAATGAGAGAAAGATAGATAGATACTTTATTTATCCCTGGAGGGAAATTAAATCGTCACAGCAGC